AATTTTGACAACCACCCACATACCGTGGGTCATTTGAGTTGGGGATCGTTTTTGTCCCCAATATAGAGTAAGATCAAATCTTGAATTTGGGCATAGTCTTTAACAGCAGGATATACTCGTATTTGGTGCAGCCAGCACAAAACACCCCTCAGGTCAGGTACTGCATTCCTGCAAGTGTCATTCCCTTGTGAGCTTTGTAGTATATCAAGGCTTTTTCTGAGGTCGATTTGGGGGCTGTTAGCGTGCTTGCAGAGTTTAGAGTTTAGGGATCCTCAACCAATGTTATGGTGCGCAATAGCCAGAGTTCAGCATACAGTGGATAGCAACCATTGTCAAGCGGATTCCGCGGAAGAGCCTGAGTCGCAGACTTTTTGGCCAGAAGCGCTAAGCCCTACATCCTGACGTATTCCTTGGGTCATTCCCCCACCCAGTAACTGTCCTTAAAGGGGGTAAGGGGCTATTATAATTCCTATTACCCCTTGTGGTAACTGTTACTGGGGGGGAATAACCCAACGTATCCCCTAAACTCTAATACCTGAACCTTAGACCCGAGATCCTAAACCCGAAGCCGCCGATTGAAAACGGAACGGCGGTCTAATAGAGGGGCTTAAATAGGAAAAGAAATTAAGGGTTTAGGGTTTAGGGTTTAGGGTTTATTCAAGGTCTAATATGCGATTTCTGCAAGGAATGTGGGACCCTAATATTGGCAGTTATTTAGGCCCCTACATAGAACCAGATCCCGAGGTGCTGCACAACCGTTCGCCTCTCCCATGTCCTCCAGAACGGACTGTCGGGAGAGTGGAGACCAGCTGGAATGAAGCAAGGGGCCTGAAGAGTCATTTGATACCCATTCTAGATGGGTAGTTTCGTTCATATCAGCTTTGCATAGCCCTTCCATTCTCCCCATATAAGCCTTGTGTAAACCTTTCGTACCCTAAAGCCTGAACCCTAAATGGCAGTTTCCCTAAATAGGGGGGCCCCAAATATCATAATCCTTATTATGGGGACCCCTAAAGAGGTACCCCTAATTTTAAGAAACCCTAAGCCTTATAATCCCCTACATAACCTCAGTTTCCATTTCATTTTCCATGTTCTTTTCCATTTGATTCTCCATTATAGTAGGTACCCCTAAGTTTAGGAAACCCCCAAATCCTAAACTCAAGGTTCAGGCCATGGAAGCCACAGCACCTACGTGAGGCCACCTTGCAGCCTCTCAGGGGCCTTGGGGAACTTTGTGCAAGGTCTCTTTCTTTGTAATAATGGAAAAGAAAATGGAAACTACTATTTAGGGTTTAGGGTTTAGGGTTTAGTGTTTTCGTAACAGTGATATCCCTAGGATGTTGGCTGTCTAGATATCTTTGTCTTGTTGACCAAGATGAACCTAAATGAGGTTGGGTCCTAAACCCCAAGCCCTAGACCCTGACAAGAATAGGGCTTCACCACCCCTGCTTTAGCCCTAAACCCTAGTCCTCCTTAAGTTCTCTAGGTAGTTTACATAAGGCGCTAAGCCCTAGACCCAAAACTTAAGATCTTAATCCCTAGACCTTAGACGCTACACCCCTAAACGCGAAACCCTAAACTTACTGGGGCTTAGTAGGGGTTAAGGGAATTTGGAAGGATCATTTTCCTTTATTCCTTGCTAACCCCAGTAAGTGAAGCCCATGCTTTGCTCGCCTGCTGAAGCAGCAGAACGGCTACAGTGAGAGTATATGCCCGCGTACCATATTGACACTGAAGCCTACATGGGCCCCTTTTAGATATAGTCTTCCTAGGAACCGGTTTGGGCTTCCATGTTAGTCTGGGTGCGTATGTATTTAAAACCCCCCATATCAGCTAAATCCTTATATACCCACTATATAACTCCTATTTTAAATCTCTATACGGGAGTTTGTCAGATCATCCCTAAACCCTAGCCTAAAACCTAATGTCGTATCCTCCCAAATAAGCAGCCCCCCAACCTCATAACCCCAAGCTGTCCCCGCAGGTTCCTAGGGTTCCTGGAGGACCTTGATTTCGAACCCTTATATTAATCCCAGATCTAGAACCCTTAGGCCCTTCAAACCCCGAACCCCTAACCCCTAAACCTCCCCCAATTCCATATTAGCTATAGTCTAAACTCCTCAAAGCAGGTTATATATAGGGGATGGTTATATATAGGGGATATATAGGGGAGTTTTGTAGGGGGTCTTAAAGGGGATACTAGGAGTTTAGACCCTAAACCCTAAACCCTTACTTCTATCGACTTTTTGGAAGGATAGGATTTCCCCAGTCCCGCACAAACAAACCAAAAGAAGCAAGCCATAGGCTCTCAACCTTATGTATAGTCCCCCTTAAGTAGATAGAATATGGCTTTGGGTAAATCATACTACGATCCCTATATACCCCATAGTCTATCTACTTAAGGGGGACTACTTAAGGGGGACCAAAAGCCCAGAAGGGTTTCGGGTTTAGGGTTATGGGGGTTTATATGCATATAAGGGTTCTTCTAAGTAAAAAGAGGGTATTGGCGACCCCAACCGTCCCAACTCCCCTGTAATCATGGAGAATCGAGTGGAAAGACATGGAAAATGGAATGAAGCGTGGGCTTATACCCTAAACCCGAAACTTTAGGACCCTATACAAAGCTTATGATAGTCATAGGGGCTTGATTCTGGGGTTTGGTCCCACGGTTTAGAGGGTTTTGGGTTTAGGGTTTATGTCCCCCCCGGTAACAGAAAGTTGGATGAGGATCATAATGAAGCCGCAATATATTTCTACCGAGATTACAGGCAATGCTTAATGCTGGTGCTTAAGGGGTAGTGGAAGAGTCTGTAGTAGTCTTACAAGAATCCTTGTAATAGTTGCGATATTCATTCCCCCCACTCTTCCTGAAGTACAAGTAAGCATTCCCTGGCGCCTGCAGGATCAGCATCTTCATGAAGCGACATCCGAACACCACCGTCATTACCCAAGACATCCAGCTGCTCGGCGGAAGGATGAACCCTTCCCCTGTGATTTCAAGTATGAAGAATGTACCCCAACATCTTGGGAGAGTGCAGAGAACATGTTTATTACTTGTGGTGAAAATGTGGAGGAAGGCGTCACTGGTGATGGCTCAAACCCTGCATACGCAAGGCTTGCGAAGTGTGATAGCACAAGGTATTAACCTTGTCCATCAACAGTAGTGGAAGCTACACTTCCCAAAGACATGTTGGGAATCATGTGACCGTGTCTTCAACACAAATTGCTGTTTGAAGTTTCTACATGAGCTGTAGTCTAAACTCCTAGTATCCCCCTTAATAACCCCTATCATAATCCCCAGAATACTCCCCTATATAACCCCCTTCAAGTAGTTGAGACTACGGCTCACGTAGTCTAAGCTGGACAATGACCATGCGGAGTTGCAGGAAGGTGTGAGATGAAGATTCTGATAGAGATGATGGTTTGGACTGGAGCTAGGCTACTTGGAGGCTCCTTTGCCTTAGTAAGTCTACTTAGTAATGGCGGCTATAGGGCTTATAGTCGAGATTATTAGGGATAGAAAGTAGACTTGACAGCCTCTAAGTGGAGAGTGGTACCAAGAACGGGTGCTTTCAGTTCAGAACCGCCACGCGTAGGATTACACGAAGGCATGAGTCGCTTATGGGAACCATGCGCCACTGAAATCGAGCACCCGCTGAACCACTCAAACCCGAGACCCTATCCTGCGGAAATGCGCTCAGATTATTTTCAATTCAAAAATAAATCTTCAATTGAAAAATGATACTGCGGAAATGTTGCTTTTAAATTTCGGCTTTCTGAACCTTCGCGTCAGCGGCAGCGCAAGCCAACCTCGTCGGAAGTTGTGCCAGACCGAAAACTTGCAAGAAACCCAGTACCACATCCCAGACCCCCTAAAGCATCCAAAAAATGGAACCCCCCAATAATCCCCTAGTTGCCCCAATGTAGTAATGGGTTCATATTGGGGGGTTCTATTTTTTGGATCCTTTAGGGGGTCTGGGATTGTGTGGCAGGTATCTGCCGAGACCCAATCTGCAGATCCAACCATTTGCAACCTCAAGGCAAAAACCTTCCTGGCCTTCCAGTTTCCTAGCAAGCTGCCGCATTTCAGTGAGCATGGGCTGATTTTCCAACCGGATGAGCTTTTGGAATACATACCGCTGCATCAGCAACTCATGCATTAAACCCATGATTCTTTTGCAGGTGGCATGTTCCCCTTGGCGGCGAGGGTGCTGACTGCTTGCAGCCCGCCGCGCACAAGCAAACAAAGCTGCTCACGCGACAAATTCATGAGACGCTTCGCATCAAAAGACCTGCCTGTCGGGCACGCGGGGTCTACGATATGGCAAGTGTCTGAATGACGTAAAGGCAAGTGGTGCATGGTAGTGGGGACATCGAAACGTGGAGTGGATGAACGAGCGGGAAACAAACTGGCAAGCTAAAACTTAACAACGCCAATGAAAGCATGCGCAACGCGCATTAACCCGCAGGTTGACGTTGTTCAAGCGTCCAACTCAGAACAGCTACTCTGACCGGCACGTAGCCGCTCATCGATTTGTTGCCTCTGTTTTGCTATTCAGTATTTGTCTCCCGTCGAGGTGTTGCTGTGTTCACGGCCGCTGGAAGCCCCAGCACACTTTAAAGTCAGCCAGGCAGCCAGTTGTTTTTTGTCTGTCTTTCTGACCTTCCATGGGCGGAAATTGCTTCACTTTAGTTTTATTGGAGAAAGACCTGTCCTGGGAAAACTGCACGGACACGGTAGGCGCGCTGGCGGGTCAGTTGTGCATTTGGCAATGGCCCGCCTCTACCCTGAGCAGCGTGTTATGCGTTTGTTGCCTCGCCTCTGCCCTTGCTTCGTGACCAGTTTGATGACAGGGCAAAAAACATTAAAAAAACAGGGGAAGCCAACACAGCTGAGCCGGCTTATTCCATGCCCAGTAGTGTGTTGTTATGATGTCATGCCATCATGTGTCATCATGTGTTCACACCATGATTGTCATGATTAGTACCCTTGTCTTGTTTTTGTACTTTCCCTGCTACGAGAACCGTTCTGACCTCCCGAGAGGCCAGCTAGCGCGCAAGCCGGAGCTAAGCAGCTGGAAATTGCGACGTTGCAGCTTCCAAAGGAACGACCGCACACGATGCAGAGAAAGACAAAGGTGGAGTGGTTTCATGAGTCAATGGAGCTTCAGGCTATCCACTCTGAGCGGCATGTCCATTTGGCGCGGTTTTGGGAGTGGATTCCATGTTTGGTGTCTGTCTTTATTTCTTGTGTTATTGTTGTCTTTGTTGGGGTATTATTGTTATCGCGTGTTGTTACTCTTTTTTTGCTGAGTATTGTTATATCATGTTGTCGCGAGCCATGTTCGCATTTGTTCACAACTGTGAGAAGTCGAATGAGTCGGATGCCTGAACAAATCCTTATGCATGCCAGCCACGCATGTTTTTTCCCCCTCCCTTTCCCTCCCTCTCTCTCCCCGCCGTTTCTCCGACCTTACCTGAGCGGAGATTGGTTTTCTTTTGCCGCACTTATGACAGACTTGTTTTGAGAAACGTTGCGAGGGCGCCAGCAGCGTGCTCTTGGGGCAGCTCCACGGACAACCGCGGACTTGATATGATTCGGGCTGCCACCTCATCGTCCTCACGTAAAATTTCGTTGTTTGACGAGACACAGCAGAGCATGGGGCGACAGATACTTTACAACGCCACTGGTTTTGGATTTTGCTGCCGCTCATGTTGTGTTGCCCGCGAAACATGTTAGCATTGGCAGATTCTGTGAGTCCAGGTGGCCAGCGTGAGCCCACAG